ACCACATTGGTTTGTTATTCAATATGGCCGCCAAAAGCTTTTTTGAATCATTAACATGTCACTTGTTAGACGCTTTTATCCAAAGCTTACATACTCAATACTGTGGGCAATCCCCACAGGAGCACTTTGGGGTGAAGTGTCTCAGGGACACAACGACAGCTGACTGCAGTGGGGTTTGAACCTGTGCTCCCCTGATCCGAACACCAATGCACTTATCCACTGCGCCACACGCCTCCCTATCATGTCCTGAGCCCTCCATCCCCCATTGCTAGTGCCTTCACCATTTAAAATGTTAATAGTCAAATCAAAGGTGTTCCCCGTTTCCTCCTGTTGTGTGCCTGCAGAGACAGACTTCAGAGGTGGAGATCGCCCACAGTGAGACTCTGACTGTGGGGGGCTCTCTGTTATGGGCTGCTCCCCTTCCGTATTTGGACAATGTTGTGTCGTTGTTGCGATTAAACTGATCTTGTATCTTGCATATTCACCTTAGGAAAGTGGGCACGCGATGACAGCTTCCTTGACACACATCATGGCGATGGACCGCCGTGCCATGGTCAGCAAGGAGAATGAAGACCTGCGTGCCAAGGAGATGCACGACGAACGGCTGCTGCATTCACACAAGGCCCAGGAATCGAGGTGGAGCAACAAAATACCTTTCAGGCTGGGCTTCTTGCAGTGCTAAGCGCTGATTAAATCCAACAGGCCTTCAATACAAAAATTAAGAAAAACTTGTCGTTGTGATAACTGTACAATGACTTGTTGGGAGGCGTGTGGTGGAGTGGTCTGGTGCGTTGGTGTTCGGATCAGGGGAGCACAGGTTCAAACCCCACTGCAGTCAGGATGTCGTTGTGTCCCTGGGCAAGACACTTCACCCCAAATTGCCTACACCTGGGACAGTTCATTTTGTATTATTGTGATTATATATATGCCACTGTTATTAATACTGACACTTAATTTGCACTAAGGTGTGTCTGCTGCTGAGCCTACCTATTATTATTATTATTATATAATATATATATATATATTGCCACTGTTATTATATTGTTTTGATACTACTGACACTTATTGATCTGCGGCTGTAAATAAAAGAGAACCTACATGCACGCACTAGCATCATGACTGTTTTGTTTAAACCAGCAGCAGTGTGTGTGTGGTGTAACGTAGTTCTTCAGATGTGTATGCTTAACATGTATGTATTTATCACACTAAAGATGGGTACAAAAGCTTTTTAAAGAGCTTTCAACCTCATCCCATTGTCTTTAACACACATTTAACATAATATACTCATATTATATCCAAATATACAGTATGAGTACTGTTTTGATACTGACATTTCATCTTTGCACTAAGATGTGTCGCACTATTGTAATTGTGTCTGTTGACTGTGGTAAATAAAAGAGAGAAACCAAAGCACTGTACAAAAGATCAGCTTTATTGTCAATTTACAATTTCCATGCTGTTCAGATGCCTCAAGGGCTGTGCGCGTGTCTTGCCCGTGGCGATTTTTTTTAGGTTGCGTCTCCCCAATGTGCTTCCAGGCGAATACAGAGGAGTTGAAAAGATCCACTTTGATCCACTGCACATTGGTGTACACCAGGCCGAGGTTCTATTGTTCACCCAGAGAGAGCGCGGGACACGACGCGTTCGTAGTATTCGCATATCTGGAATACATACAAAGACACAAATTAGCCCTACATAACTCCATAATCCTACATTAGATAGTATTAATGTGATTTAATGAACGTACCATTGCTGTTCTTTGGGCGTGATAACGGTCATCATCCTCAGCTATCCTACGGCGAAACATGTCGATAGCGTGTGCTTTTCGTGGTCCAATCCTTTTGTTAAGGCTTCTTAACCGCCTTCGCCTCCGACTCAGCATTTCTATTGCATTTGAATCGTCGATCTGTATTTGTATTTGTGGCTGAGTTATTGGCTTAAATAACTCAGTTACGAAGCTGTATAACACGACACCAAACGTCAACTCCATACCATGTCTGAGGTCGGAAGGTAAACAGAAGCATACAGCGGAAGCGGAAGTTTTTCTTCTTCTTCTCTCGGTTTTTTGGCGAATTGCAACTTTAAGGTGCATACCGCCACCTACTGTACTCGCCGTGAAGTTGTTACGGCCTGCCAGTAAACCCAAAGCAGAAGAAGAATAAGTGACGTCAGCGGCTCATTTGCCTAATCCACCCCCAGGAACTCATTTTGGTGTGAACGCGATATGCTTTAGTTCATCAGAACTAAAAGAACTCTCATGAACTAAAGTTCTCATGAACTACTGTGGGAAAAGTACTTGGTGTGAAC